GAGTGGGGCCAGGGGGATCTCTGGGGACAGCACGGAGCTGGTGCAGTGGGGCTGAGAGGTGCTCAAACCCTTTTCCCATCCTCTTCCAGCCATCCGGCCGTGGTGACCGCCTCCCTGAGGTCTTCTGCATCATCAGCTGCCTGGGCTGCTTCGGGCTCTTCTCCAAGGTAGGGATGTGGTGGCTCCGTCTGGCATGGTGGTGGCCCAGGCAGCCTCTCCGTTGCCTGCCGGGGTTTCACAGCTCACTTTTTTCTCCCCCAGATCTTGGATGAGGTGGAGAAGAGGCGCCAGATCTCCATGGCAGTGATTTACCCCTTCATGCAGGGCCTTCGGGAATCGCCCTTCCCAGCTCCAGGGAAAACTGTCACCATTAAAAGCTTCATCCCCGAGTCAGGCACAGAGGTTGGTGGAGGTCTCGGGAGCTTAGCAGCAGTTCCTGGACTGCTCCAACATGGGGAGCCTGGGCTATTTCCAGGAGCATCCTCCACACCTGCAGCACCCCTGGGTGCTCGCTGGAGCAGTGGGTGGTGGGTTGGGCTGCTGGGGGCCTCGTGCCCTGGGAATATGGGTGCTACTTCCCTCCTGGTCCAGGAGGAGAGCAGCAAGCAGTGAGGATGAGGATGGAGCCCCTCCACAGGTGAGCGTCACACAAAGATGCCCCATCTTTGCATGCTTGCAAAGCAGCATCTTTGCAGCTCCATCAGCCTCGAGCTGGAGCTGCCAGCCCAAAACCTTCCCGGACGCCGTTTCTTAACATGTCAGGGCTTGCACAGCCTTTACGTCAGAGCGGTGCATCCCGCCGGGGGCCGTGGAGCGGGGCTGGCTGCGCCCTGCTCGTGAGCCGGCGTCGGCACCTCCGGGTGCAGGGCTGCTGGGGCGCGCAGTGGTGCCGGGGCCGTTGGGGGGGTTGGAGGCTGCAGCTTCCCCTCCGCACCGCAGCGCCCAGCTCTCAGCCTCAACACCCGCCCTCGTTTCGCATCACGAGCAGGCAGCCGGCATGGCCCAGGCGTGCGGCAAGCCTGGCCCTTACCTGTGGGGAGGAGATCTGATACGGGCACGGTGCCCACAGGGCTCATGGCGCCCACGCACGGCTCAGGCTCGCACAGGCAGAGCCTTTCCTTTTGCTTTTTCTTTCCCTTGTGGCAAAGCTGGGGTGGGAAAAGGGGAAGGATCTGCCTGGCATCGGGCAAAACAACCCCAGTGCTGAGCATCCCAGGGACGTGTCCTACCAGGGTGGGTCTGAGAGCAAGATCCCTCCTCTCTTAATGCAATTTAGCAGCTGGCTATCAAATTGCAGGAGATTTCTTCATCCAGGAAGGCTTGTGCAAGGGCTTTGCAGGTTGCTCAATGCTCTGGCTGCGGGCCAGGCTGCAGGGAGCGCGGCTGGGGGTGACAGGAGGGAGGATTTGCAACGAGAAAGTTCTTCGAAAGAGCTGAGCTCTGGGGCTCTGAGCAGGGGCTGGAGCAAGTCGAGAAAACAGGGAAAGGGGTGAAAAATAAATCCTGGGTATTGCGTGAGCTGGGAGCTGGGGATCATGCGGGATTTGTGCCGGAAAGGGGCTGTGGAATCCAGCCAAGCCCTACGCTGCTGGCTGGGAAGACGCTGCTTTGCTGGAAAGGCGGCTGGGCACACGGAGGAAGGGGATTGCTCCCCCTGCCCCTTAAAGCTGGGGAGAGGGGCAAGGACGGTGTCATAAGCTGCACAGTCCTGTTAACCCTTCTGTGGTCACCATCAGCAGGGCAGAGGTATCGACCAGGTCTGGGAGACCCTTGTCTGGGGCCAAGCCAGCAGAATAGACAGACCACCTGCAAATAACCCTTAGGAAATTCACTTTTGGGCCATCCTAGCTAGGATGAGACGAGCTGGCCCTCACAGGGAGTCTTGAGGAAGTCTTTGTGGGTTTTATAGCAAAATTAATGCCCTCATCCCTCCTCCCTTCCCTGGAAGCTGCTGCTCGCAGCACGTCCCTGCCCGTCTCCTACCAGGCACTCGTGAGCACTGCAGAAAAGAGGCATTTGGGTTAAAAATCCAGTGCCCCAGTAAACAAAGCCCACGTTGCCGCTGGCTTCTGCATCCTCAGCATTGCACAGCCCAAACCTCCAGGCAGGACAAGATGAGGTCTGTCCCTTGCAGCGGGACACCATGCAGATGCTGCGAGCTCTGGGTCATTAATTGCTCCTGCTCTGGGTCATTAATTGCTCCCAAGTCACCTTCTCTGGGTAGCACAGGGTTGCGCCTCCTAAGCTGGGGTTCGGTGGCTCTCTCTTGGCAGCTCATCGAGCTCACGCGGCCCGTGGATGCCCACCTGGAGCACGTGGAGTTTCAGGCTCTGCTCCAGCGCCTCAGCCCCCACCTCATCCTGCACATTTTCGCCTCCGCCGTGTTGGAGCGACGGCTCATTTTCCTGGCGGAGGAGCTGAGGTGAGTCCTGATCTGTTTATTTAAAAAATAAAACAAAACAGAAAGAAAAGAGGCCCTTGAAGGAGCGCAGGACACAGCTGAGCTCGGGGTGGGCTGAGCTGAGAGCTGAGCTCCCTCTGAGCACTGGAAGCCTCACGCAATGCCACCATGCTGGCTCCTTGTCCCGCAGCGTCCTGTCGCAGTGCATCCACGCGGTGGCTGCTCTCCTCTACCCTTTCACCTGGGCTCACACCTACATCCCTGTGGTCCCCGAGTGCCTGCTGGACACCGTCTGCTGCCCCACACCCTTCATGGTCGGCATCCAGATGCGGCACCTGGAGCGGGTCCTGGACCAGCCGATGGAGGAGGTATTTCACCTGGGCAGGGGAAAGCATCTGGACTGAGCCATCGGTTCGTCCGTGACCCTGGGTTTGGGTTGGCTCTAGGGCTGCAGGCTCTGGTTGTGCCCTTTTCCCATCCAAGGAGGCTGGAGGCTGGGGCTTTTTGCATGGCCTCTCATGATGGCACCTGGGGCAACACCTCCATGTCCCCCTGGGTGCTTCCGGCCACCCCAGGACCCACACCCCTGATCGAGCTGCTGTTGGCCAGGCTAGCTGTTGGCATCACCCCAACCTTGCAGAAGCGGAGAAAGGCTGCATGAGGACAAGGGGGCAAACACAGTCCCTGGGGGGATGCCCTGGTCCCCCTGCCCAGGTTCCTCCTGGGCATAGAGGGACCAATCCTTCTCCTCCTGCCCTCGTGGGCTGTGGACACAGAGATCTGACCATAAAATGGGTGGGAGGAAGCCTGGCTGCCTTGGTAGGGCTAAACCTGGTCGCTCTTTACTCTCTTTCAGGCTCTGATGGTTGACCTCTGCGAAGGGAAGATCCTCCGGGCGGTAGGTGCCCCCACGCAGGGCGGGGGGTGGGCGCACCTGGCCTGGGTAGCCCTGGGAAGGGCCCCTTTCCATCCTTGGTCCCAGCTCTATGGCAGCTTTCACATATTGGGGGCAGAGACATCTCGGTGTCACCCACGCAGGGTGGACGGAGACTTCTCTTGTTGTGAGCCAGAGCAGCAGGGTCTGTGTGTTGGGCATCCCGCTCCCAGCATCACTGCAGCACCCTGCAATGATAATTAATTAATGAGCTCTGCAGAATGTCCCACTGATGGGCTGCACGAACCGCTGCCCACAGCCATCTGAGCTGGGTTCCCACCCATGCTGGGTGCTTCACAGCCCCGTTGCCTTCCAGGTCGGCGATGAGGAGGAGATCTTGCCCATCAAGCTGCAGAATGAGATGCTGATGTCTCTGAACAGGCACAACAACAACAACAACGTACACAGTAAGGGCCTCTCGTTATGTACGGTAAAGCGGATGCAAGCTGCCTTCTGCAGATGGCCGGAGTCCTCAGCAAAATGTTTTTCCTAAAGAGACCCGGCCTGGGATATTTCTGCCCCAATTTGCAATAAAATGCAGCTGCAGAAGAGAAATCCCTTGGCCTTTTCCCTGTCCTGTGAAATGTGAGAGCAGGAACAATTAATTCTGATGAAAAAAATCAGGTTTTGTCAATATTTGGCCCACAAAGATGCTACCACCCTGGAAAGCAAACACAACCACTGCTCCCTCAGTAAAATTAATCTGATCTTTGTTTACTGTCAGAAGGAGATTTTAAGCAGATAATTTCTCGGGATGCAAACAGAGACTGCGAACCAGCCAGCTTAAAATAGATCTGTCCTTCCTACGCTCAGGGGTCCCAGCCCCACCTCTCATGCTCCGTGTCCTCTTCCAGCATCCGAGCAGGTGAATGCACTCGTCTCTGAAGCCTTCGTGCAGTTCTTCGTCCGAATGGTTGGCCACTACGCCTCACACATCAAGTGGAGTAAAAACGGCTCCGGCACCTTCCAGGAGCGAGCCTTCTGCAAGGCCATCGCCTCCAAGACCAACCGCAAGTTTGTGAAGAAGTTTGTGAAGACAAACATGTTTTCCCTATTTATTGAGGAAGCGGAAAAGAGCAGGATCCCACAGGAAGGTAAATGGCCCCATCTCTCCTTCCCTCGCTGGCCGGGTGAGCTCTGCAAAGTCCTGGGCTATTTGGGTAAGGAAACGAGATGCCCCATGCCTAGAGGGAGATGGAGCTCAAGGCTGAGGATGCTCAGGGCAGCGAGTAGCACCCGTTTGCTCTCAACAGCTGCATTCCTCCCTCCCTGTCACAGAACCCTAGAATCCTAGAATCATGGAATCCTAGAATCCCCAGTTGGAAGGGACCTCAAGGATCATCTGGCCCAACCTTTCTGGGCAAGAGCCCAGTCTAGACAGGATGGCCCAGCACCCTGTACAGCTGAGGCTTAAAAGTGTCCAATGTGCTGGAGTCAACCCCTCCCCTGGGGAGATTATTCCAATGGGTGACTGTTCTCATGGGGAAAAATTTCCCTCTCATATCCAGTCAGAATCTCCCCAAGAGCAACTTGTGTCCATTCCCCCTTGTCCTCTCCATGGGACTCCTTGGGAAAAGGGAGTCTACATCTTCCCTGGAGCTCCCGCTTAGGTACTGGGATGTGATGATGAGATCCCCTCTGAGCCTCCTCTGCTCAAGTCAAACAATCAAAAAAATCCCTGGGCTCATTCTAGACCTTGTCTGGGGACGGGGCGGGCGTACTGAAAGCTCAGTGTTTAGGCAAACATACCAGTATAGCAGCGCAAATATTTGGCTTGGACACAGGCAGCAGCTGGGAGCCGGCTCCTGGCTGTGCTGCCTGCGAGCCCTGACTCATCTTTGCCACCGGCTCCGGCATGGGCCCAGAGCAACTGGGTTGGTCCTTCCCCCTTCCTGGGGATTTACAGGGCGCTGGGCAGAGCTGAGCCTCCTCCCAGCCCAGGACGAGGGCAAGCAGGGGCGATGGAGGTTGAGGAAGCCACCTGAAACATCTACCGGTGGCCAGAGACATCCTGGCCCGGGACTTGCCACCCCCAAGGTCTTGCTGCACTTGGAGGGTGTGCAGGAGGGCGCAGTCCTCAGCGACTGCCACATCGGAGCAAAGCAAACGTTCCCTCGGACGGCGGCGCCGTGTGGCAGCGAGCGGCAGATGGTGCCCGTGGTGGGCCCCTCCCCAGCCCGGCCACAGCCTGCCCGCGGCACTCGGGGCCCGGCCCTACCTCGGTTCCTGCTTTCTCTGCCCTTTTAGGACAGACTTTATGGGGCAGGCATGGACCTGGGTCTGCCTGGGGTTGGGAGAGAGGGGTGGCACAATCCCACCTTTCTCGTTATATTCCCAGTCTGCGTCGCCTTTTTGGCTGTTCACATTCCCAGCGTCTCCCGCTTTCTCTCTTCCTTGCTGGAGAGGAAACACAAAAACTGAACAGGAGTGAGTGCGGGGGTTAAAGTACTTACATTAACCCAGCATAATGAAGCCCATGTTGGGTAGGTGACAGGGATGGGTGGGATTGCAACACCCCCCATTTCACCTGGGTGCAGCTGAACCAGCACGGTTCGGCTCCCGGGGTGCACGCGGACTGCGCAGCCCCGCATCCTCCCCAGCCCGAACGCTTCCGTTTCGCTAACGACCTTTTCCTCGTCCACAGCGTATTTCCAGCAGAAGATAACAGAGTACCACGAACAGAAGAAGCACCGAAGGGACTCCTGAAGTCCAGCCTGGGAACACCGGAGCAGGGCTGGGACTGAGCAGGTCCCCGCCAGCAGCACCACGCTGCGCAGACTCGACACGTGCCCTGGCCGAGGGCAGAGCGCGCCGGACTCCGCTGGACCTGTCCGCCGGTTCCCACCCGTCTGCGACTCATGAGATGCGTGGGCAGCACTGAACACCAGTTTCCACCCTTTCTTTTTTCCTCAGGGCAGCGTTGCGCTGGCAAACTCTTTTGCACAGAGCTAGCAAGCAGGCTGGGATTTCTTTTCTGACCTTGCTAGCAACCGGGACAAACCACGACTCGCAGCGCCCGGCCCCGCGCAGAGTCTGTGGCCCCATCAGGACCTCACGCGGCGAGGGAGGGACGTCAGGGAGCTGGCTGCAGGACAACAGAGGTCGGAGAGGAATTGTTGGGGGGGGGAGGGAAAAAGAGAAGTAGGAAATAGCGCTATTTCTAATTAAAACAAACCTAGGTTTTGCAAATAAGCACCATCCTGTTGAATGAGTTTCCAAGGTTATTGACAACTGTTTCACTTTTTATTTTCTATCAGGACGCGCTCATTGTTAAATCTGGGCAGGAACAGTCGTGGGGGATTTTAGCCGTCTCCTCTGTAGCAGCCGTCGGCTTTGCCGGTACCCCGTCGAGCCCCGTTTAGCTCGTCAAAGAAACAAAAATATTCTTTTCCAACAGGTTATTTATTTGTGCTGTAAGCAAACTGTGAAGGCCACAGGGCTGTGCTCCGTAGCAGAGGGAAACGGCCGATCAAGAGCTTTGGGCAGGGAGCGAGTACTTGTTACACACAGTAGTAAAACATGTCGACATCCTCCTTGTTTCTGGTTTCGATGCCAACTTCTTTTAAAACCTTGCAGTTCGTTGAGGCACCGTCCCTGAAATGTGATGCCTGCAGCAGATTTAAAGCTAAATGATGGCTCTCGCCCTTTCCTAACGCACTCATCCAGGGAATAAAGATTGCAGCGGGGAAAGCCGGCGCTGGCTGCAGATGTGCCTGGGTCCTTCCCAGACAAACCAGGGCCAGATACTTCTCCCGGCAAGGGCTGGGGCCGAAGGCAGAGCTTCAGCCTCCTCTCTGCGACGCTATGGCTGAGCTGCTGTGTCGCTCGGGATGCATTCACCCTGCCCACACATGCAGATGTTACCCAAAATACAGTTTAATACAACTTTTGCAGCGGTATCGAATGCCACGGCGAGAGATTTTTACATAAACACTAAAAAATAAGCAGGCTGAAGCCAGGCAGCTTTCGCTTTTGGAGCTGTGGAGCATCTAACGAAAAGGAGCCAGAGGCCGAGGGCATTTATTTTAGAAGTAACCATTTGTGTGCGACAAACGCAGCTGGGCAGAGGGAACAAACCCAACAGCAATGAAACTCTGGCCCTGCTGAAAGAAAATTGTTGGGTTTTGTTTAGCCCCCATGGAGGGAGGAACAAGAATTATTTGTTAGGGAAAAAGGGGATTTTTGGCACTGGGGGTATCTTCCCTGGCTCCGCCAGAGCCACCCCTCATGGGCAGAGAGGACGTTACACGTTTAATAGAGGAAAGTAAAGGTTAGGGGTCTTTTTCTGTGGTTTTTCATTTTAAAAAAGTTCACCTGCCAGCAGAAAATTGTGTGCGTGTGTAAAAACCAAGGGCACCTACCAAGAATTGTCCCTTTGGAAAAGGCCATTTGCCTCCCCCTTCTCCTCCTTGCTCATTACCATCATGAGAAGACGCCAACCGTGCTGGTTGTGAAGCGTAACGCCGTCCCACTGAGAAAAATGGGAAGTGGCCCTTGCTTTGGCAGTAGCCCTTTAGAAAAGAAGAATTAGAAATCACACAAGGGGCTGGATTGCATAGTTGCTTAATTCCTGCCAGAGAAAAATGTAATAGAAGGTTATTCCTCAGCAGATACACGAAACCTGATCCTTAAATGTAAAAGAAAAAAATGTTGTTCAAATGTAGGCAGTGCTACAGCTGTCAGGAAGGGTTAATTACAGGGGGTGAGGAGGGTTGGTGCTACCTTGCATGTTAATGCATATGTTAATCTCAGAATCCCAGACTGGCAGGGGTTGGAAGGGCCCTCGGGAGCTCACCCAGTGCCACCCCCCTGCCCAAGCAGGCTCACCCAGAGCAGGGGGCACAGGACAGCGTCCAGGCGGGGGTTGAAGATCTCCAGAGAAGGAGACTCCACAGCCCCCCTGGGCAGCCTGGGCCAGGGCTCGGGCACCCTCCAAGGCAACAAGTTCTTCCTCACGTTCAACTGGAACCTCTTCTGCTGCAGTTTGTGCCCATGGCCCCTTGTCCTGGTGCTGGGAAGAGTCTGGCTCCATCCTCTTGACACCCACCCTTGAGATATTTGTATGTGTTGATGAGATCCCCTCTCAGCCTTCTCCAGGCTAAAATGCTTTCAGGTTTAATGCGTATGACTGCATATGTAAAGTCACTTAAAACACTTTTCCTTTTAGTATTGTTAGGGAAAAAGGGACCTAGATCCGTTCCCAATGACCAGCCTTCGGGAAGCACATCAGCTCCTAGCTGAGCATCTCAGCTGGCTACAGGAGGACAAAAGGAACAGGTACAGAGTACCAGGAGCATCCAGGCACTTTTCTGGATTTCACTTCTCTCCCCACCACCCAGCAGCAGCTACAGGTGGTGGCTGAAGATGCTGGAAAGAAAGAAAAAAAACCCAGGGGCATCATCTGCCGTGGAACCCCCAAATCTTCACACACACACACACCCCAAATCTTCTCCCTTTCAGTGTGCTGTTACCCTTCCTGACAGCTCTGTCCTTGATTCCCAAGCCTGCGTGGCCGATGTCATTCCTGATCAGCAAGTTTTAAGGCTTTCTTGAGTTGGGTTGGCCTGAACATTGAAAAGCAGCTTGATATTATCACGCTTGCTTACTCGCCTGATGGGTGCAATCAGGCAAGAGCTTCAGTGCCCTCCCTTTAACACCCAGAGGGTGGACAGACTGCATATTGCAAGAAGGACGCACATCCCTCTACGATCAATTGAGCTGGGTAACGAAGGACGACACCATGATGAAAGGGCAGACGCTGAGTAAAATACCTTATTTATGTCTTTGAACTCAGTCTGCCCCTCTTAAACCACCCCCTCGCAGGTGGGGGCACTGTGTTTGCTGCTGGAGACACTGGGGTAAACTCAGCTTGCGAGGGAGCACGGACGCATCCAGCTGGGCTCAGATCCCATTGCAGCGTATCAGCAAAACTTGCAGCACATTTTTAAATCCTCCTTCCTGCTCAAGATTTGTCTTAACACTCGATCTAAGACTACAACAGTAAATAAAACAGTGCCAAGAGATGTTTCCCCGAACTGGGAAGTGCTCATTTATTCTGCTAAATTGCTAACATAGTTCCCAGCATGGTATTAGCCAATTCACACTTGTACAAAACAACTCCCAGGCATGGTTTGGGAGTCAGCGCAGGAGTTGCTCCCCATTTGCGGTTCAATTCCTGCTCTGCAGCTGCCCCGCTTGGGAGATAAGTTTCATGTTCTGGCATGTGTCACCCTCTGCCAGCTGGCCTCAGCTCCAGCAAATAGTCCTGGGCATATTTAACCTACCAGAGGCAACGCAGTCGTCATTGCTCAGCGCTTCCAGATCGCTCCAGAACAGACACAGCTCCTACCTCGGATCACTTCCCACCTGGCTATAACCTCTGCAAACGGCTGCAGCTTCCACCTCCTGCTCTCTGGAAATGATTCAACAACTTCGCCACTCCATTCCAAAGTCAAAGAATGGGCATAGCAACGCTGGATGTACCTGGTGCATGCAGGGTAGGTAGGAAAGAAAGAGAAAAATACGAATATGGAACAGAACTGGTGCTCGGATGGAACAGAAACAGGCCCTGACCTGTCTCTGGCCTACGTTAAACTCCTTGCCAAAGCAAGGAAACCTCTTTACCAGTTCTTAGAAGAGGCAACGCTCCAACACCAAGTGGAAATTTTCAGCTTGCCTTTATGGTTTCAGGAGAAAACATCAAGAGAGGACAGGCTGTATTTGCTTTGAAGGGAGCACACCCAGACACAGGTGTTCCAGGAAGCCCCACAGGCTGCTGTCGCAAGAGCTCTTCCTTCTAAAGCGCCTTCTGAATGCAAGAGAAAGTGAAAAAGCACGTCATGAGATCAGGCTGAGCCCACAAAAATCCCGTTCCCCTTCTTGACTCCTTGGGCAGCCTCAGGTCTTCGGGCGCACCCAAGATAAGCTGTGATCACAAGACAGCGCGGTAACGTAGAGGTGCCAGGGGTAAAGTTTGTTTATTCCACTATTACAGACATTTATACAACACCTACAGCCACAGCAACACTTTATATGGCTTGGGTCACCAGCAGTAACTATTCCCTGATAAGACCGAAGCTTTATCAGGACAGAAATGGGAGTTTTTTCCTGGCTGGCTGAAGGTGGAGGGCAGTGAAAAGCTGAGGCAGAGGTGCCCTGTCCCATTTGCTGAACATCACCAGGCTTCAGCTTAAGGCAGGTTTTGTAAATGGAAGTTTGGTCCTAGACAACCCTTTCAAGACTTCAGTTCCTCACTGGTCTCAAATATCAGTGACAAATTATTTGGAGCAGCTCAATCTTAAAGCCCTGAAGACCAAGAGCATGATTGCCCTTGTTTACGTCTCTAGAAAACCACTTACACTGCGGGGAGGGACTTTCCAAGTGACTGAGGTTTGCACCCACTTCACGCTGACGAAAGGAAACGCGGGGTTCATGAAAGGGGAGACAGGCCCTCGGCACCTTAAAATCCTTCCCGTCTTTTGCCCTGCAGGCTTTGCCTTGCTCACCACCCAAAGGGCAGCACCAGAGGCCAGACTACCAAGATCAAACCTTGGCCCAGTTTGTTACAGTTAAAACTCAATAAACCAGTTCTCTAAATTCCAGTTGTACCTAAAACTGTGACAGCTGCCACCTCACACACTGAAGTATCAAGACACGGGGACCGTGACGTCCCCAGGACACTTCAGAGCTGTGCCGCAGGTACGCGGTCAGGATGCAGGAACCAAACTCTCCCTCAGCCTGGCAGGGACCCTTTGGGAACCCCCAGTACAACCAGGGGCCAGGCCCCCCAAAGAGCCCTTGGCTGCGCTTGCCATAAAATAGCTGCTGACAAGCATGCAAACACCTGGACATTGAAAGGTGAAGCAGGGAAGGCTACAGAGATTTCTCCTCATCCTAAAGATGTTCCTCCTCTCCCCAGCACCCCAAGCCCGAGCCTTCATCTCACACTCACTTGCTGAAGGGGTATGGCACTGCAGGAAGGAACCAAAACTCTTTGAAGCAGAGAAGACCCAAGGCAGAGCACATCCACGTGCTAAGCGCTCGGCTGGAGAAGGCAGCACCTCGGTTCCGCTTCCTGCAACACCTCGAGCAGGGGCCAGCCCTGCTTCCTCACAAACATTTCAACAACTGAACTAGAGCCATGCTCCTCTCTGGCCCACGCAGTCCCGTGCCTCTGCAAGGCACGGCAGCCTGACACCGGCTGCTGTCCCAGCAAGGTGGAAGAAGGGGTTTAAAAGCTCTCCAGTCACTGAAGGAACCAAATTTTCTCCCCACTTCCTGAGCACGTTTTCTAATCGCCAGGGTACCACAGGAAACACATGTCACCACTTCCCGCAGCCGAGTGGGGTTTTGATTTATTGTTGTTGGGGTTTTTTCTAAGGTTGTTGTTGGTTTTTGTATTTGTTTTTTAGAGTGCACTGTGCACAATTCCTTCAAAGGGACACATGCAGTTGCCTTCAGGTCCTGCTGTGGCTCCGAGTTCCCAGTAAACACAAGGCATCTTCTTACCATCTTGAGCGAGATGCTTCATAGTGAGAGCGCTAGGGTTTCCACCACCAGGTTCCTCGCCTTCCCCACAACCTGTGTCCCAAGCAGCTCCCCAATAGCCACAGCAGATCCCCCTCCAGAGACACTCCCTTTGCTCTGTACAGCAAGCCTCGGGTGGCTGAAGAGTGTCTGAAGCTCCCCTCAATGCCAGGGCATGTGGCACACATTGCAGCACTTCACTACCATGCAATAAAACCCTCCCTTACATCTAACTTAGCCTCCCTGATGCAGTTCACCACATTTAAAATAGTATTAAAACAACAGCAACCACGAGCCACCTCAAACTCACTGCAGAAAGCTCTTCGAGATCCTGGAATGACAAAGCTGTACCCATAAAAGCATTAGAAAAATCGCTTTCCAAATAGCAGGCAGGATCATACTTCGTAAGTCTATGTAGGACAGAGCAACACACACATCTGAAGACAACTGTTGCTCTCAGAATTCTTATTTATTAAGAGCAGAAAGGAAATTTTGCTTAAGTTTTATACATAAAAAAGTAAACAGTAAAATTTTCTTTTTATAGTCTTTCCACTGAAGAAAATTGAGAAATAAGTTGTCTTTTTAGATAATGTTTATTTAAAAAAATAAAATTAATTGACAAAGATACCACACTATTTTGCATGCCGGTCATCCCTTCTGCTTGCAGAACCCTGTTTAACGCATTATTCTTCAGCAAAAACCACTCTATCAGCAATGCATAAGCAAGAGAACCCCATCAGTCTGGCCTCAAACCCTGACAGCCGCTTCAGCTACACAAGCTAGTGCGATATCTCCGTTTTTACCAGCTCAGGTCTTTAGTAAATAAATTTCAAGTGGACACTAAACAAGTATTTCACTAAGAGATGATGAAATATTAAAATTAAAAGCAAGTCGTATTGCAGCTGTAATTATACTACATTAGAAACTTCAGTTGTTGGGGATCCATTCACCATATAGAGATTATTTTGTAATCAAGGTAATTACAAAGACAGAGCATTACTCCCTGCATGCTTTCCTGGGCTTTGAACCAACAGAGTTGACTACATGTAGAGTTGACTAGGGTGTACTTGGAATCCACTCTCTCAGGCAGGAGACTAGTTAAGGAGTGTTACTGATAACAGAGAATAGAAGTTATACAACATTGATTATTATAAATTATTTTGTTCTTATCTGCTTTTTGCCTCAGTCTCCTATATATATATTCACATCCGCTCATGTAGAAAACCAACTCTTTCTTGTGTCTCCTTACGGTGACTCCCCATTTACTAATGGTGATTTGAATGCGTGGAGGAGGACTTGATTCTGAAGACGTGGATGTGCAGATGGGCAGCAATCTGATTGCACACACTGACACAGTATCGAAGCAAATCAAAGAGAGAAAAGATCTGCCAAGGGAAAAAAATTATACACATTTAGATGTGTGTTTTCATGGAGTATAACACCACCCGCATGCTTCAGAATAAAAGCACTGGGGTCTTTTCACAAACTAAAGCTCCAACTCTGTAGGAATAATCAGTCACTGAAGCATGAGTTTCTAGGCTTGCTGGGCTTCCTTCCAGCTTTGTATGAATACAGACTTAATTCTAGAGTGAGAGAGGGGAAAATACAGTTATAGCAGCTAAACAGACCCTGTGAAATCCCCCATTCGCTCTGAATGGCGATAACCATACATACAATATCCATTTTATTAAAAGGTTAACACTGCATTTTGGTAGATAACACCTGAGTGCTTGATAAGCACATAGGAGTTTAACTTAAGGTATTTTTTCCTAATGGGTGCTGCTGGTAGTGGCAGACATTCATGCTTTCAAGAGCTTAAGGCACAGCCATACTCCATTTGCACAGTGCATAACGTATTCCCTTGCTACCAAGGCATCAACACAAGTCTTCAACATCTTTTATTCTAAGCTTTGAATATTTGCTACATTGCTTTAAAACTGTTCGAACTATGCACCAAGCAAATTATGTTTACCACCGTTCGCATGAGCTCTATTTAAAAAAATCAACTCAGTGAAGTAGGTTCCCGGTCCCATCACTCTGAGTCAGACAGTTTGGCTCAACCGACGCAAACAGCATTTGTGAAAGAGCACGCAAACACTTGCAATGATTACAGACAAGCAAAGAGAGCCCCTACTTACCAGGGCAATCCAGAGTACAATATACTCATCAATAAAGCTGTTAAAATACTGATCCAGAAACAATAGTGCTGGGCCTATGAATGCTGTGTCGTGCAGGTGCATTTCACTTTTGGTCATGTGTGCAACCTACATTAAAAAAAAGAGGAAGTTTAAGAAATAAACATACGCCAGCCAAGGTACAGTGATTTCAGAATACACAAAGCCAAAAAAGTTATAGTTTGAGCCACATTACTGTAAGACATATCAAGGACTTAAGTGAAGTAGCAGCACAAATACTGTTGCAACGATGGAAGTCTACAGCTATACGAGATGCAGGGTTTGCAGAGAAGTATCTTTTATTAGAACAAAGAATGTAGCTACAGGAAGAAAACCTAATACATTTTCCAGCCCACAAACTTTTCCTCCTGCTAGAAACAAAACAGTAAAAGCAAAGCAGACTGGTACATTTTAAGGTTTACTTGAGCCTGGAAACCAAAACTCACAGCTGCTAGATTTTCAAAGATCAGAAGCACTTGGTGTTCCTCTCACTCCACCTATTTGTTCCCACCCCATACGGATCACCCCCTCTCTCCGGTTACCTTTTGATGATCACCTCTTTCCGTGGCCTTCCCACCCTCCCCCACACGTACAGAGGCTGTCCTACACCACATCCTCACTTTTACCAGCACAACCATCAGCGTGACTGTGTAGTAAACTGGTCTTGGTAAGAAATAAACTTTTCTTCCCATTGCGAGTTACATCCAACGCTGATCCAGTTCATGTGGCAACAACATCAGAACTGAGATGGTGTGGGGCAGCAGTTGTTTAATCCCTCATTCACTCCCTACTCAAATGGGGGCTCCTCTCCCGATAGCGTTGCCATCTGTTCCCCAGTACAAACCTGTTCATAATTTTAACCACTATTTCTCTCCGATTGTTTAAGTTAAGCCCTGACCAACTCTTCCAAACCTCAGCAGCTCTGTCACCTTCTCTCCTCCTCCCAAACTTTCCTCCCCTCTGCATCTGAGGGGGGGTTTCAGCCACCTCTGTTCCTGCCCACCTCATCACCCACATGGACAAATACACTGCAAAAATGTCAATGAACAGCTCCGCAAAAATGTCAACAAACAGCTGGGAAAGTAGGAAAAACAGAACTCCGGCAACTCTGAGCTGTGCTGGTATTGACTGTGTAACCACGGCGTTAAGCTTAGGGTTTACTGCTCCCCTTTCAAACAGAAAGGCTCCGCTGCACCTCCAAGCTACTGAAAAGAAGTAAAGCACGAGTATCACTTCAGTACACAAACAGATGCGAGTTAGTCAATGGAATAACCAGAGAACTTGAAAATCTACAAGAAGTTTTACTGCAATAACAGGAAACTCAAAGGTTCTGGTACACTTACCACTAGTTTGTTTGTTATCTTAGCAGATACAAAACCAAAAGTAAGGATATATAAGCAGGGATGCTTTTCAAAGAGCTGCACAGCAGATTTCTTGTAGATCATTGCAGCTAATGCAATCACTGACCCGATATGAAGAAAAGGTGAAAGGACGCTCGTTCCCTACAGGGAGATTAAAAGTTAAAGCATTTAGGTAAACAAAACATAACAGAAGAACATAAAAACATACAACATGAAACATAAGAGGTTCCAGTTGAACATGAGGAAGAAATGCTGGACTTTGGGGGTGCCCGAGCCCTGGCCCAGGCTGCCCAGGGGGGCTGTGGAGTCTCCTTCTCTGGAGATATTCAACCCCCACCTGGACGCTGTCCTGTGCCCCCTGCTCTGGGGTGAGCCTGCTTGAGCAGGGGGGTGGCACTGGGTGAGCTCCCGAGGGCCCTGCCAACCCTTGCCATTCTGTGTGATTCTGTGTGTGAAAACATGCATGTTGCAAAGAAACCTCAGTAAGCCACACTCACGTGGTACACAATGGATGGTTTCTAACTAAAAATCACATTAAAAACATGTCTTTCTGAGCACTCGTACTAACAGGAACAAAGTGTGGTGAAGCTTGAGTGAGGACCTACTGAGAATGTGGTTGAACCCTTCTTGTGCTGGGGGAGAAAAGGTTTTAGGCAGCAAGAAGTGCAAAGTTCTGACGCTCACACACAGGCAGTGGCTGACACCACTAGCAAGCAACAGGAGCCAATACTTCTATCACTTTTTTCTGTGTCAGCTAGAAAGCAATGAAAACAGCCTCCTAGGTGGCAACTAATTATTAGGCCAGTACAGAACTGCTTTCTGGAAAACTCCCAGGGCTCCAGAATCAATCTTCTTCACTGAAACAGAAGGTACTTGTGCAGATACCTCCACCTGTACTTTTTCACTGGTAAAATGAATACAGATCTTTTAGAAGGATCAAACCCACAACCAATCTTCTTCACAAACTCCCTTCTGAATGGATTTTTGCATTGGACTTTTCCATGAACTCTTTGGGGTAGGGGGAGGATATGGATGTATTTGTATAACCTGTTTTATAGGATTAATTCAAAAGCAAGTATCAAAAGTACCGTGAGCACTTTTAACCACTCAGATTTTAAAACTCTTGACTCCTAAAGCTACTATTCATACACAGACAATACTGACTTGTTTTTCCCAAGCCAGCACGGAACTGAAAGGAAAATATTTCACATGTAGGAGGGATCTTAAACAAAAACTAAAGGCATGGCTGAAAAGCCACAGAGCACTGAAGAGCGGAACAATGTACTTACTGCTATAGTGGATCCATTTTTGCCAACTCCACCTGTGAATATTACACCAAAGTAGTTTGTACAGGAGAATATGGTTCCTGCGACAGTACAGAGCGCCGGGAATATTTTCATCTGAATATTCAGTATTGGAATCTTAATGGAAGAGACACAAGAAGTTATAATCTGCACAAGCAAACTAAAATTGGGCTTAATACTTGGTGCACTCAAACACTCCACTTTCCAATACCACATTTGCTTTTCTTTCTCTGCTATGCAGAGATTTAAATTTCTGTAAGGCAAAAAGAAGCATGTATTTTTCCAATAATCCCCCCATCAAGCTTCCCATAAAGCCAGACTCATCTTCAGTTACCTGAAAAGAGCCATAAAAAGCAGAGAAGCGGACCCTAACCAAGAACTTGCTAGCTAAATCAGCCAGCTAGCACATTGAAGAGAAATGCACCAGTCATCTTCTCTGAAGCTGGTTGGGAAACTCACAGCTGCAGCCTAAGATCAAACCGGGCCAAGCAAGAGCCACTGGAGAGGATTAAATGAAGCCCCTTAAGAAACTGGATGCTACCTTACAGGCAAGATGAGGGAAGCAGAGACCAGACATCTCAGAGTCAGTGAGCCTGGGAGAGCAAACGATGAGGCTGCTGAAGAAGTGAAAATTGAGCACAGGCAGTAACTTTCTTCATCGTTTAACAGTCGTGTTTCAAGCAGAACAGGAAGAAAGGAGCTCAAAATAAACCATAGCAAATGTGTTATGGAAGCAAGTGTTTAGAGAGAGCTACCCAAAGCTTCCCAGCTTCATCCACAGAACTACAAAAAACACCCCATTTTATTCACAGGCTCTTAATTGAGGACCTGCAGTCATAGCACTCAACACACTTGGCTCCCCAAGAGCAAGGAGTCCAACTACATTCAGAAGCCCAAATGAGATCAAGTTGTTTCTATTTTTCTTCAGTAACACTCTCAGTGTAGCTTTCAGCAGGTGAAGATCATTAGTTTTCTATCGCATTCAAGAATTTAATCTATCTTTTCAGGGCACAATTAAGAGGCAGAGCCAGCTTTAACTCTTCATGCCTTGCTCTTGAGCACCCAGACCACCTCTCCAAATCACTGCCCTGCAGGCTTCTGGCCAGCTGACAGTTTCATGACACTCGAACATATTTCTCCCTTGCTCAGGCTGCGCTGTTAAGTCAAAAAAACATTTTCTGAAAGATAGTAAAGAAAGAATAATGACAAGTAAACAAAAAACATACATTGCCATAGGTTGGTGTGCTAACTGTAATCATTAATGCTAGGAGGCACAGGACTTCTAAGGTCTCTCCTCAGTCTTAAAGGGAGGTACCTGTGCTGCCCTCTGCTTCAGAAATGGTACTTTGGTATTTAAAGAATGGAGTGAATTTGCTCTTCTCCAGGAAGAGGAAAACAAGGGCAAGCTTCATACAGGAGCCAAAAGACATTAAGCTTGACGTTTCCCAAAGAAAAGGGGAAGAACAAGCACCCCCTGAACTCCAAACTACTACCAACACATCTGAGAATGATGCTCAGGAAAGGCAGAAGGATGAGACCACACTGTTACACCATCCAGTTTGGCTAGTGATGCTTTAACAACACTCTCCCTTTTGCTTCCACCAATAGCTGCATCAGTGATGGGTATTAGACTGCACTTATCTGGCAGAAATAGTGGGAAACAAAGCTACCTACAGAAATTTGGCAGAGGAAATTCAAAGGAGAAGTGTAAAAAGGCAGCGCCTGCTAAATTGCTTTGCATCCAAAATAGAAGCAGCAAGGCCAAAAGTTGGAAGCAGCAAAGACAAGCAAATGGCACAGAGAAAAAAAAAAAAAAAGAGTAAAGGAAGAGAGGGAATCATGCTCAGAAATCTTCCTACAAAATGGCATTGCAGCCCCCGACTTTTTAAAGAAGAGGACACTGCAAGGCAAGGCCACCAGACTTCCTTGCCTGGTATTCTGGAGATCACCACGGTCTGTGCAATTATTCTGACCTTGCTGGTAACTGCATGGGTTTCACCAGAAGTCAGATGCACACAGAACCTCACAAGACTGTGTCAGTACCACAGAGAAATATCACAAGCCAAATCTTTTACAGGTAAATTATGTTCTCTGTTAAACTCTTTGAAGCAGATTACAAGAGAAAGGCTACGCTGCACAGAAAGCTTCTGAGTACAGATATATCCTGGTCAAGGGAGCATTCCAAATTTTGTCCGGGGGAAAAAAAACATGCTTGTTAATAAAAACAAGCAGCAGCAGGCAAAGAATGGATTAACGAGTGCTTGCCAGAGCCTGGATTAAAGCAAGTCCAGAACCATTTGCTAGAAAATTGTCAGGCCTCCAGACTAGATGCCATCAGCATTTTGTGCAGCATGAATCAGGATTTAAAAAATATATATATAATTAGAAAACAGTCAGGAAAAGAGCACAGCTAAGGGCTCAGAGAAGCAGCAGTGAAGGGTGGGTAAGAGACTATGCATCCGAAAGTGGCCCCAGAGGCACTGCCTCCAGAGACCCCTCTTGGCTAGCTCCTAGTCACAAATACCACAGCCAGCTGGGCAACTCATAGTATTCCAAGAGACCTCGCAAAGGCCAGATCCCAGCTGGATGTATGCACGCTTCAGCCACATCTGCAAGAGGAATAACAACTCAGAGCGGGCCAAAACCAAGCTTGCTTTATATTCATGAAGTGTTTATGCTTTTAAAGATTACGTCGTGGAATAAAAGCCTCCAGCAATTGCAGCACTTTTCTCCCTTCAAACAGAACCCCCCACTCTATATAATCAATGCATCAAGCAAGTTGCACCTCAGCTTGCTCACTTTACTCACATTTTCCAAACGAGGATCTCTGCTGCAGTCATACTCACCATCCACCAGCAATTACCGAGCTCCGGGAGCCTCACGGAACAGCATTTTAACACGCTTTAAAGAGAATCTACACTGACAGAGAGAAGGGAGCCAGCACAGGTACGCACTGTTTCATGGAGAAGAAAGCTAATGCAAGCAACAATTGACAAAATACACAATTCTGCATTTAGCCTATTCAGATTGTTTTGCTTTTCACATGTTAGCATAAGAAAGTGGAATGTTTGAGTATACAACCACATTTTACTCCGTTACTTTTTCCCTCAGATAGAAGCAAACCAAAAAATACCAAGCCACCAATTTTGCTGTCGCATAAGATATTAAAGGATTGGGGAGGGGTTGTGGGATATATTTTGCTCTGCAAGTAGTAAATAGCATTTATCTCTAAACAAACACAACATCTCACAAATTAAAATCAAAAAGGAAAACTCCTGATTGTCAGGGGAAACCCGATTACCTCTGTTAACCCAACACCAGACTTTAAAACAGTTTAATCTTTTCGTAGCTGACTTAGCCAAACGCTGCTGCAACCCAGAGCTAATAATTTCAAGATTTTGCCAAAAAAGGTTATTTGAGTTATTAAATAACGCAAGAGAACAGTCTCCAAGCTCAGATAAACACCACTTCACACCAATTTGTGCCAGAGATTGCTGTAGCACCATTCCCCTCCCCCCCCTTTTTTTTTTAAAAAAAAAAAAGGGAGAAAGAAAACTGAGAACATGAATTGGGAGATGCCTACTGGTAAGGCAGAACAGCAGCTGGATGGGGATGCTGGCCACACTAATCTCGCTGGGAAAGTTTGGCACCAAGAAGCTGACTTGCAGCTTCATTTTTTTCCAACTAGTTTTATCCCCACTCGTTCTCTTTAGATGGTATTTACTTTACAGTTTACATCATTAATTGGGGGGGGGTTGGGGTTTTTAAGCCTGAAAGCACACGTAGCAAGATGGGGTAGCCGAGGTTAGCTCCTTTTTCTAGATCTTCTCTACAGAGTTAGAGGGCTCATTTCTAGTTATCTGAAGCGGATTAGAAATTGATCAGTTTGGGGTGACACGTTTCAGTAATTTTTTGACCATCTCTTGGTTTTATTGCAAATCAAGATTTTTTTTATCCACCTTAAGAATTGTGTTTATCAAGTCCACAAACAAGACCAATACTCAGGAAGGAAAACCTTCCGGGAAACCAACGCTTTAGATGTTATTTCCAGAAATTTGTTATATTTGTATGTGCACATACATGCTTGTCTCTGGGCAATGCTATTTTTGACAGCCCACCGTGGCTTCAGTAACACAAACTCAACTTAAGAACAGCCCATAAACCGCCAGCTGACATGGGCTGGCAAGCCTATATAAGATATGCAGGATCTATATGCAGCCAGTCCATGACAGTCAGCTTGCTTAATTAGGATGCTCACTGCTAAAAAAAACCACCAAACACACACCAGGAGAGAAAAAAACCAAGCCACGTGATAATTTTTTCCCCCCATACAGATAAGAGTTGTCAGCCACATTCAGGCCAACTTAAAAACTGATGGTTACCAACTCCTCTCCAAAAGTCTCCCCCATATCCTGAATCCAATTTAGTACTCCTCCATGGCTGATCTAGCTCGTTGCACGGAATTCATTCAAGTTTTGGCCAGCTCTCTCAAAGAAAGCTGGATTTCACTGAAGGTACATTTAAGTTTGTGCAACATTTGATAGCTTTCTACCTGCAAACACAAGATACAAAGTAATAGCTTGTTTTAATAACTCTGGTAAAGCCAGAGTGCACAGTTATTGCCATGTGACCTACACTCAAAAATATGTATTTCCCTTTACGAGAAAAAGTGAGACCTTCCCCTCCCTAATTAAACTCTGCTACTATTTGCAGGTAGTTTTTCCAGGTGTCTACTAGATTATTAAAAAGGATAAAATAAGAACATGAACAAAGTTACCAGAGATTGCCAAAAAGGTGGTCCTCCAATCACTGCCAGTAAATGCATGATTATTATGAAGATTTGCACTTCAGTCACATCAATTCTGATTAGGTACAAAAAGCCAAAAAAAAAAGCAAAATTATTCAAAGCAATTTCAAGTCAGTTATTTGCAAGCTCAGCAGCTCTCCTCTATCATGCACAGTACAAAACCTCCAAAATACTGAGGAAAACAAGAGAGGCAAAATTTATAAATAATTTAGAAAGCAAAAAATGTATTTTAGTTTTATGGTTAAAATTAAGAGCCATGCTGTGCTATCCTTTTTGTTTTATTTCACAGTGCAATAAAAATCCATTGTCAAAAGCTGTTGGAACTCTTCTTTTAACAGACCACTGCCAGTTGCAGAAACCAATATTGAGTTTTAACCTTGCCCACCAACAAAAAAAGAATTTATTTCAGATGATAAAATTCAGGAAAGATATTTTTAAACCTTATTATACTCCCTGCCTTATTTTTTAATAGAACTATTCTCTCTGAATAGTATCAAGCTTTTTAAGAGAAACACAAATCCCTGGAGAGTTTATGCAAATGTAAACGGTACAGTCAGCTGCATTGCTAAAGATTACGCAATTCAGTCTCTAACATGCAGCAAGAAGAGAAACCACTTCTGGTTCCAGCACAGCTAGTACGCTTTGCAGAAGGGCAAGAAGGAGAGGCTTACAGAAAAGACTGAGTTTAAGACTTTGTTTTAAAGCGTGTGCAAAAGTCTTGGAGCTAGCAAGAGGGAAAAACCAAGGCCAGACAAATCAATTCCAGAAACAGAAGAAAAAAATGCAAGTGAAAAATAAAGAGGCTGGACTTGCTGGTTATAATGTGAAGCCAAATAAAACTCTCTGATACTGGAGTACTGTATCAAAAATAATCCTCCAAGAAAGCGTGAAATATTCACGGCATATACTCCTTATCTCCAATAATGCAATTCCACCTAAAAATACTCAGAATCACCTCTTGTAAATACATGCCTTGCTGTTACAGAAACACAGTTGTTATCAACGACATAGGCATCAGGAAGTAATGGTTCAGGGTTGGGGTTTTTTTTGCCTGTCTGCCTTAAATGAGCTACAAAAACATATAATAAGTTTAGTATCAGATCAGCGTGCCACCACGTTTTCTCTACAGCTTTTGTCCCAGCTTTGGAGTAGATCCTCTCATTTGAGCATCTCCAGTCTGGCCAAAACGCAATTTTGTTTCAGCAGCAGATCAATATGCACACGGGATAATTATGAGGCTGCATCTAATTTCTATGTAGAACATCCTCAAAGCATAAGAAAGCAGAAGGGCAACTATGGGGAATTCAATGCAATCTCTTATTCTTACTATGGATTCTCTAGATGCTGGCTGCTGCTTTCAGCAGGCTGTAAAAGCACTCCATCCATCTCCCACTGTGCAACCGCACCTTTCCATCACCCAAGAGCCTTTCTGAGCAACTCCCTAAGAGCAGGACACACACCTATGGAAGAAACAGCAGAATCGGCACTCGGCAGCACCATCGCCAGCAGGGAAACAGGGTACGAGGCACCCAACCCCTGACTGCCCCTGCTGCAAGCTCCCACTGCTCCCTCCCCGCGGTGAAGCAGAGGGATAAAGGATAAAGAAGGTAGGAGAGCAGCAATACCCATGAACTAGCCAGGCTCTGGGCATATAATGGGAACGTTTAGTCAAAGCTGCCAGAGGAAAGCCAGAGAAGATTCCAAGAAAAGTGTTTCCTGTACATGTCTGTTTTGTAAATTTTCTTTTCACTACACCAAGCATGGAGATATGAGTTACAGAGGAAATAGCCTCAGGAGTCCTCCTATATTCTGATTTGTTCAATTACAATCCCGTAAGTCAGTCAGAACTGGCTTAAGGGAAGAAAGAAAAAAAAAAAAAAAAATCAATTTCCACAAGGAGGAAAGAATGTTCTAAAAAAATCCCTACTTGTCAGTCCTCACACAAACAGATTGAGCCATTGAGCTACCTTGCAAGAAGAAGTACAAATACTCAGCCATGCAAGAAGAGAGATACACAAAACATCTGATTAAATGCAAATGGCTTCCTCCTAGCTTTTGGAGTCAGATTGTTTTCAAGCGTGTCCAACCGAGCAAGCGTTGAAGCAGCTCCGAGAACCCACACAGGTTGAACAGGAATGCGTTTTAGCCTATTTCACTACTTCCATCAATGACCTGAAAGAATATAAAGCAATTGAGAAAGCTCACAGAAACAGTGACTAATAACTAACGTAGGTAACTCAAGTTTGTAGCTTTCCTTGGACAGTAAATCAGGTTTCTTTTGGCAGCAGTAATCTTAACGCAAAATAAAGGAAGGTCATATACTTCCAAAAAAATTTCAGATCATAAAAGACAAGGTATTCCGAAAGCCAAACTCTTACACAAAACTGGGAGCCCAACCAAATCCACAGAAGCTGTGCCTGGATTCAGGTTCAGGAGACAGCATTATCTTCTTTACACAGCCATGGTACAACCTTTGCTCTGCTGCCTGTAGTTCTGCCCTCCACAAACTCAAATAAAAATGGCATCAGGCAGCTGGGAAGGCTTCAGCGATGAACTGCGAGTGTATTTGGTTAAAAACTCCTTCCTGACTTATTGCAAGAATCTCACATTGCAGAACAAATACAAGTCTTGACTCCAATTCTACATAAAGAGAAGATTTTTAACACTAAAGGGCTCCTTAAGACAAAGGCATAAAAAAAACTGAGGAGAAACTAAACACTTAAAGCAAAGCATAAGTTCTCAATACTGAGGATGAAAAAGAACTCTCACTGTTGGATGACTTAGAATCACGGAATTGTTTTGGTTGGAAAAGCCCTTTAAGCTCACCAAGCCCAACCGTTCCCCTACCCCTGCCATCCCACCCCCAAACCCTGGCCCTCAGCACCGTCTCTGCCCGGCTGTTAAATCCCCCCAGGGCTGGGGACTCGACCCCTTCCCTGGGCAGCCCCTTCCAGTGCCTGACAGCCCCAAGGGGAAGGAATTGTTCCCCATGGCCAACCTCACCCTGCCCTGGCACAACTTGAGGCCGTTTCCCCTCGTCCTATCGCCTTTTAAAAAGGCATGCTCCATGACTGTAGAGTACATGCCTGATGCTGGAATTATCCAGTGATTTTTTCCCCCCGCCCCCCTCCCTGAACGTCAAATAGCCACTACTTAGAAATCTAAGAGCACAGGAATCTATCCGGGCAGCTCCTCAAAGCTAGACCACAGAAGGGAACAACATTTGGAAACAAAAGCTGGGTGAAAGGCAAGAGAGGCACATTGTTCCCTATTCATTTATGTGAATTTTAAATGACTGTGCACTAAACCAGCCTAAATCCATGCTGCTGCTAAAGGAACAGTCATCCCGGCTTCTCCAAAGACCAATCACTTTCTCCCCCAAAAACCAACTGCTCAGTCCCACCTTCTCCCCTGTGCCAGCTCTACGGCCGCGTGCCATCAACTGGATCGGGAAATGCTAAAATGACCCAAAGAAAGGAAAAAAGAAAAGAAAGGTTCCTGTCCCAATTTCTAGCATATAAGCTTTCCTTATCCATTTTGTAGGGCCTCATGAATGCTGGAAGCACAAACAAGAGGGCAGTGGAAGGTCTGCATGGCCTCTCTTGGCAACTGAGAAAAACCGTGCTGAGCCAAAGTGACCATGCAGCCACAGACTTAGGCAACAAGGGAGTAAATAAATGGGAACGAAGGCTTCCAAATACGACACAAGTGGACTGCTACCAGTGCTCCTGAAAGTCCTGAACAGCCCTTAAAATGTAACACAGTAAAAAAAAAAAAAAGTGAAAGAATGCAATCAGAAAACCAAGACCCAGGGTTTTGTCGAGAAAGCTACTGAGCAAAGGTAAGGCACGGCACTACCTGGAAAGCATTAACATGTCAGGCAATCTAGAGGACTTTCATTCCTATGCTTTAATGATTAACTTGTAATTATTAATTCTTTCAAGATAAAATGTACTAGTAATAAAACGATCCATAAATTGCCTCAGTCACCATATTGTTTTTAAATTCTGGCAGAACTGGGAAGGTACCTAACAAAATGACAAGACAAAAGCAGGGCTGCATGGGCACTCAGTTTGGATTAGACTAAAGCCTTTCTGTACTACCCACGCTGGCCTTTTGAGGAAAAATATATATATAGCTTCCTTTAGTGGCTAGGGAAGTTATTTGCAAAGCATGGTGATAACATTCCTACTTAAATATTACATAAATAGTACTATTTTTTTTTTTCCCCCACACATAGTTGCATTACGCATTGGAGCGCCTCTTCCTGCGCTAAGGACCACAAACTGGAGTAGTGGATCATTTACCAACTAATCGTAGAAAAGGGTTTTTAGTGTCAATGCAAAACGATGGGTTCTACAAGGAAAAAACCCACAGCACTGGGAAATCACGAGTGGGAAAAGGCCTTTGGTGCTGCAGACCCCCCTGCGTAACTACTGCCCACAATCAGTAGCCTGGTACCATAAGCAGACCTGTAAAGAAAGCAAAATCATTTCAAAGCAAGAAGGGAACCAGCCAGTTCAAAGCCTGATTCTATTTTTTCCTTCTGTTTGTATTTATTGACTCATTTAAATGCTACAGTGGACATCCAAAGAAAAAACAAATGGAAAGAGCTAGCAGGATGAATTCTGCAGCTCAAGTAAGGGGGTTTCTTCACGGGGATATTTTCAGCAATCACTCGAGCCACACTTCCCCTAACCTGACAGCTTTTTGCCTGATGTTTCCTGACAAATTGAGTCACATCAGTATTGTATGAAACGAAGCAAATGAAACAAACTGTTTCCCCCAAGACATGCCCCCACTACAATAGAGGGACGTAAAGTCATTGTAACAGCTCCTCAACAGACACAAAGCAGCCTCCTTCCAAAGATCATTTCTTCAAATAAACCAGGGACTTTTTCATCTTCTAGAAAATAAACAGAAGACCCTGAATCAAGTTTTTAAGATCACCAGGAACATCCAGGCAAAGAAACAAGGAACAAAGATCAGACACTGAAGACAAAGCAACAAAGAACCTAGACTCAATAGTTTAGCAAACTAAAAGCGCCAAGATAG